AAAAGGAAACTCAACGTTGTGATTAGGGATCTCCTGCTTTAAAAAATAAAAATAAACAATTATTAAATAGTAAGGGTGTTGTTGGGCAGAGCTAACGGTGATATACAAATATGTTTTTTCATTACGTGTGTATGCTTTTGAACTAAAACGTCGTAATCTAAATAACAACATAAATAATAATGTGGCATTTCATAATAAAAGTATGCATTATTATTTTATTTTATTTTTTAAAAAAAAAAGTATTACGAGTTGATCCGTAATGGTTAAACCACCTCATACAAAAATTAGTGATTATTAAAAAATAAGCAAAAAGAAGGAATAGTAAGGTTGACCTAACGATTAGGCCTTTATATATGTTTTCATTAGATAAGCATTTTTTCAAAGTGAAATGTCATACAATTAAAATCAGTATAAATAATACAAACAAATGTATGACATTTCGTAGTATAAATATTTATATTTGTTAAAAAAATATGACTGATGTATTCATCTTACTATTAAACATTCTCTTACAAATTTGTAAAAGAAAAAGAAGCAAAAGGCAAAGAAAAAGGAAAAGGGCTTGAAGTTAGTGGTAGACCGGNACAACAATAACAATAATAAATGTAAATGAAAAGGAAAAAGGCAAAAGGGTAGAAGAAAGGCGTGGCTCCATCATATATCCATGGTAAAATATATCCCTTTATTTTTGCAATGTGTTGAGGCTGTACTGTAAAGTAGATTATATTCTCTCTATACCCAAAAGTGTGAATAAAATACCTCATCTCCTGACTCGTGATCAGCTTCTTGCAAATGCAAACTGCCTTACCAAACTCTTTTTTTCATCTTTTAGGGATATCTTTGGCTTAGTCGAGCTTGACAAAAGGACATTTAATTTTATGTTTATGCATTTTTCATGATGTGTCACATGTGCCATAGTACTGGAAATTCATTATTACAATTATAACTATTCTAATGAATTATCACTGTTGAGCGCATATTGATATAGATATATGTCTCTAGCAATTGGTGTTCTTTAGTTTTTGTCCAACACTAGTTTCCTAACATTTGGCCCCAACTTTTTTGCCTGTTGTAGAAACTAGCTCTCTCTCACTTGAAAGAGTCTATGTTGGGCATTAAATTATGAAATATATAATGAGAATGAATTATTACTGTTAGCTCGACTATGCCTAGGAAACATGGCGGAAGGCTAGCAGCATATGTATGAATCCCAAAGTTGAAGATGAATGACCCAAAATTAAAAAAATATCGATTTACACCTCAGCTAAATAAATAGCCTTTTGGGCCTGTGTGTGGGTGTTTGATTTTTATTGATGGAAGGTAGACTATTGGGCCATGATGGGCAATTTCTGCAGGCCTAAGAAAATGGATTGATTCCATTCCTCAGTAGGGCCATGTAATTGGTCAGTCTTCAATGCATGGCTCGCATACCGTCTTCGACCAATTCTCGCCGTTTTAATTTCTAGCAGTTATTTCGACCATATTTATTATCGAAAGTAAAAATAAAATACCTCATCGTAGCTTAATAAAATTAATTAAATAAATAATTAGTTGTATATAAAATTACACTAAGCGGGCACAGAAATTGCTCTAATATATACGTAAATGTGACATGTTTCTTATTGAAGGCTATTGAGAATCCACAACTAAATAGATTTTTTCGTCCTCAGACGAATCGCAAGAGGACCATCAAAGATCACGTACCACCATCAAATGGAACCCTCCATTCCTTTGTAAAACAACCAAGACATCCTCCACGGGAGATCCTTGTCGTCCTTGAATCTTATCACCAGCATGAGGTCAGATCGTCAAAATGGCATGGTTATCAAGATGATTCTGATTCTTCAAAATGCCAATCTTACCAAGACAAAGTCGGTTCGTCCAAAAGCAGACCTAAACAACAATGGGTGCCGGTTGGACACGCAAATTCTCAATCTCAACCCTATTCTTTATGTCGGCAATCGACCCATCTCGTTAATATCGATAGGTCAGAGTCGTCCTATTCTCGTAGGCAACAACGAGCTTATGCTCACCAAGCCTACAACCTTAATTAAAGAAATCAGCCAGTTAGTCCCGGTGTGGCAGGTGCCGATCTACTTGAATTTATCACTTTCTCAGATCATGATGCTAGCCGAATCCATCACCCTCGCTTAGAATCTTTAGTAATCATGGCTCCTATCTTCAACATTCTAGTCCACCAAATTATGGTGTATACGAGAGCCTACCCTAGCTGCATTTATCTAAACACTCTTATCTGAATATGTTTCAATATTGATGAAGTTAAAGGTTATATTGACCGAGTGAGAGGCTTTGATGGGAATATCACCATTCCCTTGGGAGAAATCACACTGCCAATCAGTTTCGAATGGAACGAACAAATGGGGAGAATGATTTTGGAAACTTTCAAATCATTGACTGCGAACACGAGTATAATGCTATTTTGGGGCAAACTGCACCATATAATCTTAAAGTTGTTGTATCCATCTAAGCTTTTGAAATTCACCACTCCAAATGGAGAAGGAACAAACAAGAAAATGCAAAATATGGGGATCAAAGTCTTAAAACTATAGTGCATGTTTGCTTGGTGGGATTAGGCAGGATATCCCGCTTAATTCAGACCTAATTAATCCTGCGTTTGGTTCATGGGACTAAAGCCCGCAGGAATCCCATCGGCCCGGTATAAAAATGGCTTAATCCCTCATACATGGGATAAACTAATCCCAGGAAATAGGTGGGATTATTCCTATCCTGTTGTAGTAAATTTTTATTTTACCTCTATTTTAATAATTTTTAGACTGTTTTTTATTTATTTGAAAGGGGTAAAACAGTATTTTACACCACCTACACATTTTTTTTTTTTAATTTAAAATTATCCTACCCCCTTATCATATATAACAAACACAGGAATAGTCCAATCCCAACAATACAATCCTTCCCCATTGAATTAAATTTGTCCAATCCCATCCTAAAAAGCAAACAAGGCTAAGAATAATATCCTCATTAAGTGACATCCAATTAATGCCACATTAAAATATTTTAGACGATTTTTTTTTTTCGCAAAGGACGATCATTTTGACTCACAAATCTCTTTCGTGGCTTTGTTGAATTAAAAATTCAAAAGTTGATAAGAAGTAGTGGCCAATGTCACCACCCGTGATGTATCACAAGAATATACTTGTAATCTTGTGCGCCACAATTCAAAAGCTATTATGATTTTTCTTATACTTATATGGTACCAAATCATAATAACACTATCAAGTAACAGGACACCAAAAAGCTTATAAAAAAATTAGAGGGATACTCCAGGAGACAGTAATTTCAAATTTCTAATTGTTTTTAATCCTATATTGTAAAATGACACTCTTATATGTGATATTCGTATGATGGTGTGTGAGTTTGCATAATCCAATTGTGATTACCCTGTTGGGCAGTATATACACATGGTACGATCACATTTGCCCAAACCGTAGATTTTTTTTCCTGATTAAATGGATAAAGAAAAATTTTCATTCCAAACAGTAAATAAATCAAGGAGTCAAACTATGGTTTAAAGTTTAAACATTTTTCTTTCCTTTTTTCGTTACATTATTAATTTTTATGACTAATAGTTTGCAGATTTTGTCCCAAGATTCAAAACCAAAGAACAACAATTCTTGATAGAATTGAACAGGATCCCTCTCATTCCGGATTAACGGATTTATTAATGTCCCCCCAAATGACTAATATGCCCCTATCCCCTCCCAAAATCATTGTCGGTCTGGGAGAAAGCGAGATTAGTTTCTCTCTCCTAGCCACATCATCTTGTGAGGTTGAAAATTGAAATTTTCATCTCTCAAAGAGTAGAATTCATATAAAAATGCAACGGCAAACAACCAAAAGGTTGTTGTCACCTTTATTATTTGCTAAAATCCTTAGAAAGTGACAAGATAAATATATCATCTTTTGGTGATTAGTCTTAAACAAAACCATAAGGCACCAAACCAATTATGAGTTAGTATGGGGCCTAGTTGATAAAAGTATAAGATAATGTACATTGACAATACAATAGTCCCCAATAATACTGTCCAATGGATATTTCCAACTGTTGTGAGAAAATTCAGTATTCCCTGATATCTAGCTTGAAGAACTGAAATTAGGTCAACTGCCAAAAAATGGTACCATTTCTTCTTTCCTCTCTTTTTTCCATTTACATGGACCTCACTCATGATCTTACGAGCAATTCGAGATTTCGGACAACTTAAAGGACTGAATCTGAAAAAGACAAATCCGATTTTCCTAGCATAATGTAAAGGGACCTAATTTTGCCACACACTATAAATCCAGGATGAAAATCGCAATCAGCCTCAAAAAATTAAAGCAGTGATCAAACGGAGGAAGCTTACCATATAATTTATGTACACTCTGAGTTTGTCTTTAAGAAGCTGGCTTTGGTCCAGCTCGTTTGAAGGCAACAGTGGGAGCTATGCGGCAACTCCGCCTCTGATGCTCCACCACAAGCTGCTCGGCAAACCAGTCGAGCTTTTCCAAGTTGCTTTGCTCTCCAATTTTCTTCCCGCCAAAAAGGACCGACTCTACATTCTTTTGTTTCAGCATATCGTCTGCTATCTCCACTAACATTTTCACGTTGCTCGGGCTAGGGTTCGAGTCGATGTTAGTCCCACACTGCCCGAAACTGAACCCATTTGCCTGCGATTTAAGAGTTTCACTAATTATTAGTAAATCAATATACATATATATATATATATATATATATTGATTTATTTTCCATTTACCAGGAAAAGAATTGTTTTAACGGCAAATTGTTTTAGCGGATAACCTTAGATTTATCAAATCATAAAATGAGAACATCCCACATAGAGTTGTTAACCTAAACGAGTCGCTTGTGAGCTCGGCTCGTTAAGGCTCGAGTTCGGCTTAGCTCGTTTGATAAACGAGCCGAGCTCGAACTCGCTTAAAGCTCATTTCATTACCGAGGTATATAATTTTCTATAGTTCGGCTCGTTAAAGGTCGATATCAGCTCGTTAAGGCTCGAACTCGGCTCGTTATTATTGATAAACGAGCCACGCTCAAGCTCTATTTTTGGCTCATTTACTTAACAAGGCGATTTTTACATTACAGCCCTATTCCCACCTAAAATTGAAGGACGCTATGTAAAATTTATACTTCAGGTGTAGCAAAGTTACTCACGTCCAAAACTAATCATATGTCTCAACAGTTGCTAAGCTATTTTTGGTGAATCCTCGTGTGGTCTATCACCAACATAAATAAATATTTGTGTATGTCTGGCAAAGGTGTAAAGAAAAAGGAGCAAGGTCCTAAAAAATTTTAACACTTCAAATTCAGGAAATTACAAGAAAGCCAAACGAAGCACACTGCCCAGACATATGCCCCCAAATCGCAATAGCTCTGTACTAAAATGTACTCGTGATGTTAAAATTTTAATTATTGGGGGGTGTGCTTAAATCACCTATACCCACTTATAGGCTATATCAGAATCATCAACTTCACGGCCAGGCTTGAGAAGAGAGCCCACCAACATCTCCCTTTGTGAAAAATGCCAAAAGGCTGATATGATATTGCAAGTTGCGTATTGGTTAGCACTTCTATCAAAATCGTCTGCCTTTAGCCTTATTAACTTGACAGAAATGAAAGTTGGGTGCCAAAAAGAAAAATTAACACAACTCCATGAGTCATAACAGGTGCTGTTCAAATCTCCTTTTCATTTGGACATGTTTGCTTTATGACTCAGCTAGAGTAATTTAGCTTTTTTTTCTCTCTGAAAAATGATTAAATAATGCACATGTCGAAGTTACCAAGTAATTGGGCACCACCATTTTTGGGTGCCATTTTAATTAACTGGGATGAACAAGGTAATGTAAAACATCATCTTCAAGAGAGAAGCCAGTATAAAATGTTAATTACTGCAAAATGTACAGAATCTATACTGGGACAGCATTTAAAAGAAACATTTTTATTAGTACACAACAAACGGATTCAGTGTCAAAATAACTCAGTTTCCTTTCCTTATTCTGCAGTGACTCGTAAATTAAGTGACATTTAAAAAACAAGACATCCTGGATAAGAATCATGGATAATGCTATCACTACTTACACGCACTCAAACTCAAGAAAACACTATCAAGGCATCCCACTTCAATGTCCTAAGACTTGACTTTGTGCTGGCAGTTTGGCATTTGCACCAAAACGACACCGTCTATACATTCTTCTCCCATCACCCAGAATTAAATTGTACGCTGCCAAAATACGACCTGTGCACCTACCTCAATTAACCCACTCAACCACCCCCATAGAAGCAAAGATACACATAATAAAAATAGCCCCACCAACACAAATGCTACTTGATAGGGTGAAACCTTTGAACTCAGCAACCAGAGTAAATTCTAGCATCACTAAGGACTAATTGACGGAAAAAGAAAATATGTTGAATGAGCAAGCAATTAAGTCAGGTAACAAATTAATGAACTAATAATGATTCTCTTGTACCTGAATCCGGACATAATTACTGCTTCGGCTGTGACCGAAAGCCATAGCCACAGCGTGGTCAACCAGCTCAGCCGAGCCGTCCCCAGAGATCCGAGCCAGAGGGCGAGCCCAGTCCTTAGCAGTCCATCTCCTGATCTGCTCGTACTCAAAGCTGCCTTCCAACAGCTGCCCAGCCCCAGTCCCTACCGAAAGGACCAAAATGTCCTCAACCCCTCTCACAAACGGGAATTCCTGCTTGTTGTGCAGCACGTGGGTTATGGCAGCCGCCGCCGGGTTGCTCATGGCTATCCGCCCGTCCACCCCCACGCACCGGGTCGACCCGTCCACGGACCTCAAGCAGACCGGCCCAAACACGCCTGGCTCGGCCGACGTGGCCAGGCACACCTCCCAAAGGTTGAAATCGTAGCTGTCGGACTCGAGCGCGTCCGCCCGCGAGAACAGAAACGGCGCAGAACTGGACAGATCGTAGCAGGGGATGAGGACTGGCTTCAGCGTGTCCTTCAGGGTCAGGATCCGACCCGTTCGCCCGTCCTTGAACGCCCCTCTCATCACCTTTTCCAGACCGGCCTCGCTGCCGCCGGTTTTCTTCAGGACACGCTTGAGGAACCCTCCGCGCTTCCTCGTGGCTCCGCAGAATTTCTCGCCATCAGTCGCGAGGAGGCGCCACGTGTCGTCCGCGTGGAAAATCGGGCGGCTCCGGTCGCCCGATGCGAAGAGCATCGCCGTGAACACCCCGCCGACTCCGCTACCGGCGGCGACGTCGAAGTAGTCGGCGATTCGGGCGTCCGGGTCTCCAGATTTGTTCCTCAGGGCGGTTTCCAGATACGACAGCGTTTTGCCAGATAGGATGCTCCGCATCCCACCGCCGTCCACGCTGAGTATGCATATTTTTCCCCTCTGATTCTTCAACTCCTGAACGCCGCCGTTGGAGGTGGGGGCGGCGGTGATTTGCTTGGGGACCCAAAGCTTGCGGTCATCGTAGCCGAAGAGGAACTTGCTCTCCAAGATGGAGAAAATCTCGTAGCTCAATTTGTCTGTGTCGATGCTCGGCTCCTCGCGCAATTCCACCATTGGATTCTCCTTTTTCCCATCGATATAAACTACGCCCGCCATTTCCTGTTAGATTTTTTNTTCTATTGTACCGGCTCTTAGTTGAGGGAAAGAGGGAAAGAGGAGAATAGCATACTAACAGAAGAGGTCAAAATGCAGTTTTTTTATTTTGCTGGGCATGTCTGTCTGTTCCTAAATTTCAAGTTTATAAAAAAGAAGGCCTTAATATTAAATAAATCTTGGACCCAAAAATATAAAATTAGTCCCACAAAAGGAAAAGAAACAATCCGGAATAGAATTTTCGTTTCTAGCGAGCGCGCCATATTATAGATTTTGCCTACCTATGTAATTGCATATGAAAGTAGATTTTGATACTATTGTCATTTATTTGAAATTAGAGTACTATTGTTTTATGTAATTGTATATGAAAGTAGATTTTGATACTATTGTCATTTATTTGAAATTAGAGTACTATTGTTTTAATGTTTGACTAGGTAAGAGGCTTGTAAACAAGTCGAGTCGAGCTTAAGCTTAGGGTGTTCGAGCTGGAGCTCGAGCCCTTAATCAGCCGAGTCGTGTTTGGCTCGTTAAATAAATTAGTCATAAATCAAACTCGAACTCGGCTCATTTATCACTATTAATGAGTCGATTTCGACCATTAACGAGTCGATCTCAAGCTTCAACAGGTCAAACTGTAGAAAGTTTAATACAAAATCTCTTGTGGAGCCTTATTGAGCCGAGATGTTAACCAAACGAGTTTTAAATAAGCTTGACTTTGGCTCATTAAGGCCTCGAGCTCGGCAAGCTCAAAGCCTTAACGAGCTAAGCTTGAGTTAAGCCGAGTCAGACTCGTTTAATTTAACCACGCTAGGTAAGATAGTGACTTTGACATTAATTCGACAGTGAGGCCGCTCAACTGAGTGCAACCTTGGAAGGTCCCTCTTTAGATCCTGTTTTCGAGCCCTCTGTTGTGTTCAGCTACTCCTCCCTCCCCCGACGTTGAGTTTCTTCGGAGCCCAAACTGGATCGAGAATGGTTCTCTCACCAGATCTGTCTAGGCGGTTCGAGTTCGATCGTAGTTTTCGGGTATGAGGTCTAGATTTGTTGCTCTGTTGTTTGGTGGTCATTTGGTTCATTTGCTAAGTTTAGGGATGTTTTTATGTTATTTATTTATTAAGTATTAGTTGTTATTTTGTTTTTCTTTGTATTTTGTTTTGTGAGTTCCAGCGACGTCTGACTTCCATTCTCCTTCATGAAATTAGTGCCTTCTGAGCTTGATTTGCGGTTTTTGTGTCTCCTTGATGGAATTTGTAACCTCTTAACGCTAGTGTCCTTTCAAGGAGGTTGATCAATACTTACACCTCAGTTGTATTCTATTGAGTTTTTAAGTTAATATATTTGTCGTTTAAAAAAAAAAATGATTCCTCTTACACGAATCTTATATAGAAAACAAATTTAAAGAGATTTTCTTTAGTGAAATACAAATTTTGAAATATCAGTAAATTATCTTTTAATTGAATTGTAGGAAAAAAATTATAATGGAAAATATGAACTTTTATCTAATTTTTTTCAATTTTATAGTGGGAAATATAAACTTTTACCTATTTTTTTTCAATTTTATAGTGGGTAATATGAACTTTTATCTCATTTTTTTGAACTAAACACACGTCAACCAATCGTTCTTGCCAAACATGAATTTCTATGTTATTTTCTTTTTTTTCTTGCCAAATGGCGGTGACACTACCATAAATATTGTTCAATATCCGACAAAATATCTATTAATAATCTTCAAGCTTTGAATTTAGAAAAATGATGGTATGATCTTTTATATATAGGAAACTAATGCATAAGAGGTTTTTGGAAATTAATTTCAAAAGGTGACATTGACTTTACTTTTGAATTTTCAAATTTAAACAACATGTGTCTCATACGAGATTATTCAAATACTTTTTTAATTTTAATAACAGTAAAATATTAAAATGAGATTTTACTTGCTATTTTAAGTAAAATTTTAACGTTTTTATATATTAATAATTTTAATATATTAATTTTGATGAACACGGTTGCTCGTTTTAGGATATGTTTGATTCAACAGAAGAATGAGAGGGGAGAGATTTTAATGGAAGTGAGAGAATATGAGGGGAGATGATTAAAATAATTTATTTTGTTTGGAGTGATTTCGTAGAAAATGAGGGGAGAGAAAATGGTAAACCTTTTTTAATTAAAAAATAAAAAGAGATTAAAAATAATGTTAAATCGACTATTACCTTTATTGATATAAAAGATAAAACAATTGAATAAGCTAAATACTTTAAGCCCATAAACTGATAAAAGTAATTTCATCTCTTTACATGGTTCTTCCTTTCAAGTTCTTTCAATTTTGGAGGACAACTATAAACACTATTTGGACCAATTTTAATCCAAAATTTTTCTTCCTCTCCCCCCTTGAAAAATCAAACCAAACAAGTGAAATATAATATTTCACATTCCCTCCAAAAACCTCCAAACCAAACACTACCTTAAAGGATCACCCAATTAGCAGGTTAAAATTGAAATTTTGGAGCGCCCATGGCACCGAAATTTTGTAAGCGACTCAGATCTCGGCTCCAAGCCTCCCGCAGTCCGCAACTCAAAAGTTAAATCGTAGTAAAATCTGACTCGCTTTGTCCACATGTCAACTTGGTTTACTTTTCTCTCACCAATGATATCCATCCACGTGTCATATCTTCTCCAGCGTGCTTTTCGTGCACCGCCATTTTCTGAGTCTCCATTTTCACGCACTTCCACTTCCTTTCACGTTTTTCCTCGAACACCAAATAACTTTTGACAAAATAATAAGTGTTTNAGAAATCAGTGTTCGTACCTCGCAATGACGATGAAGTATCTAATTATCCTTCCCATTTTCCTCTGCTTGATAAGCTCAAACTTGTTGATTTGTTCTTCGAAACCAGAAGAGGACGACGATATCAATTTCCTGCAGCAGCAGCAGGAGAATGAAGCCGTACCGTCGCACGATGCGCTTCATTACGGCCACGACTACGAAAACTACGATGATCTGGAGGACGACGACTTGTCGGCCTACGCCGACGACGACGAGGACGGAGGCTATGGTGCGCCTGAGGTGGACGAGAGCCACGTGGTAGTACTGAAGGGATCCAACTTCAGTGAGTTCATCGAGAGGAACAGGTTCGCGATGGTGGAGTTCTACGCCCCGTGGTGCGGCCACTGCCAGGCTCTCGCGCCGGAATACGCCGCGGCGGCGGAGGAGTTGAAGGAAGAGGCGGTGGCTCTTGCAAAGGTCGATGCCTCTGAGGAGGAGGAGCTGAGCCAGAAGTTCGATGTGCAGGGGTTTCCTACGATTTACTTTTTCGTGGAAGGGGTTCATAAACCCTACAGTGGTCAACGAACTAAGTATGATTTTTATGCATCTTCTTTCTTTATTTTTTTCTCATTTTCGTTTCTTAGTGCCAACCTGATCCGAAATTTGGCTTTCATAAGTATCGAAATACAACTTGTTGGTAGGAAGTTACAGAATTTCTATTCATTATTTTCTCCTTTCCTATATTGTACAACTCAATCAGTCTAATTTTCAGATATATTTGAATTGATGTTAATGATTTCGACTTTCCTTTTGGCCAATGCTCTCTATGTTGTTAAAAGTTGATTCAGTTTCCTTTTGGCCAATTTTTTTGTTTGATAAGCACTCGAGTTGATGCTGTCAGTGCTGTATCCAAGTTTTTGATGATCTGTTTACCACATATTAGAAGGTCTTACGCTTTGCATCATTTATGGTAGTTACTAGGCAATTGATTTCTGTTGCAGAGATGCTATTGTTACATGGTTGAAAAAAAAGATAGGCCCAGGTTTATTTAATATAACAACCATTGAAGAAGCAGAGCAAATCTTGGCCAAAGAGGACAAAGTTGTTCTGGGATATTTAGAGAGTTTGGTGGTATGATCTCTATTATTGTTTTGGTGCATCATCTGCGTTTTATGTAATATCTGTTTGGTTCTTTACATTATTGAATTCCCTATGCCTGTCAAAATTTTGTTCATACTTGATACATAGGTTGTCCTTTGAATTCATCCAATCATTGCGATCAATGCGTTGTTGATGCAAACAAGTTTATGCGTTTCAGCAGTAGATACAAACTTGGTAATCTCTGCCACAAAATGAAATTGACAGTAAATTTTTGGTTTTTCACATGGAAGAATTGGATTTGGGTCTGGTCAACAAATATTATAAATAGTAAACAGGCTGAACTCTGGTAACATGAATTGATCAAACCTTTGGCTCATGACTTGTTTATGTAGTTCTGTTGCATTTTCTTTGTATTATATAACTATGTAGGTTATTTGCTATGATGATTGAATGATTGAAAACTTTTTAGTGTCTGAAAATATGGCTTCCAAGTTCACAATTATCCGACACGTTTGAGATAAATGGATAGTTTATTGAAAACGGTTCTTTTGGAATGGGTTCGGGTCATATGTGAATAAATCAGGAAGAGTTCCAAGTGATGAATGACATGTATAACTGAACAGCCATGTCAGGGTCTACAGATTCACTGTGAATATTGTGTCTTTACCCGCCCCTGAAATTAAAACCCAACAAAATTTCACATTGAACTATATGTATCCATGTAGCTAAAGATTTTAGTAGAAATGGTGCTGGAAAATGCTGGCTCTTGGATGTGTTTTCTTCTTATTTACCTAAAACTTGCAGGGTTCGGACAGCGAGGAACTTGCTGCTGCTTCAAAACAGGAAGATGATGTTACCTTTTACCAAACTACCAGTCCAGATGTGGCAAAGCTTTTCCAAATTGATTCAAATGTCAAACGACCATCTTTGGTCATTCTTAAAAAAGAAGCGGAAAAGTTTACTCAATTCAGTAAGTTTTTTCTTAGCCAGACATCTTTGGCATCTTAAATTTTGTTTGGAACAAAATTCTTAATTGTTCCCTATTTACAGGTGGTAAATTTACAAAATCTGCAATTAGTGAATTTGTGTTTGAAAATAAGCTCACTCTTGTCACCAATTTTACTCGGGAAAGTGCTCCATTAGTGTTTGAGAATCCAATAAAGAAACAGGTATGGCTGGCTTGTTTCTTTGTGCTGTAGTGGACTGTTTGAAGCATGTGTTTTGCCTGTGGGTTAATTCCTCAGTTACTTGTGTTGTCACAGCTGATACTTTTTGCAACTTCCAGTGACTCAGAGAAATTCTATCCCAATTTCCTGGAAGCGACAAAGGCATTCCGCGGAAAGGTGAGTAATTACTTTTCACTTTGCATTGAACCATAAGATTTACTTGCAAGACCCTTGACTTGATTAGAACATTTAGTAATGACTTGTGGAATGTCGATTAGCAGAATTTGCATTGACCAAGATCCTGTTGATGTGACTCTCATTTAATCCTTCTTTTGGAACATCCAATTTGGTTAACTCTTGATACTTTGTTGGGGAAGCTTAATTTAATTCTCGTTTTTTATTAGCAGAGCAGCAAGCAAAATAAATCACAAAAGATATCTTTCGGCGCTAAACAGTTCCAGTATGGATATGAAATTATTATTGTTATATATATATGTGTGTGTGTGTGCGTTTTCCAAAAAAACTGTTGGCTGAGAATTCTCAAATTTCTTCTTATTCTGTTTGGTTCTTTTCCAGATGAATACATACTTCCAAATTCCTAATTATTATTTCTTTAAAGAAATACTCCAATGCAAGTATTTATCTTAAGTGCATGAGAGGTCAATTTTATTCTGAAATCTAAGTTTCTATTCTTTTTCTTCTGGCTGACCGAGATATATTTTTCTTATCTTTTGAAGCTTATATGTGTTTATGTGGAATTGGACAATGAAGATGTTGGGAAAGAGGTTTCGGAGTACTTTGGAGTGAGTCGAGAAGCTCCAAGTGTAAGCGTACAACTTAAGCAACTTATCACTTTTTATTAAGGTTACTTGCTCTTAGTGTATGGCAAACAATAAATTTTGGGTGCAGGTTCTTGCATATACAGGTAATGATGACGCAAGAAAATTTCTATTAGATGGTGAATTGACAGTTAATAATATCAAGGTATTGCTGGCTTGCATACTATTATTTCTTTGTGAACATGGTGTGGGTTTTTACTTTTTATCTAACAAATTCCTTTTTTATGTGTAGTCTTTTGGTGAGAAGTTTTTGAGTGACAATTTGAAGCCTTTCTACAAATCTGACCCTATCCCAGAGAATGTAAGTTTGAATCAATTATTCTTAATTATTGAAAGACACTCTTGAATTTCTGTCTATAACCCAGTTGTATCTTGGAATTACAAATTCCCCCAAGATTTGCTAATGTAAGTCGCCTAATTCCTCTTTCCAACATCTCTTTCATTTTCCGATTCAGAATGATGGGGATGTCAAGATTGTGGTTGGCAACAACTTTGATGAAATAGTTTTGGACGAGTCGAAAGATGTTCTTCTTGAGGTATGCTTTATTCATTGGTGAAGTTAACCAAATTTGGACTTTTGAAGAATTTTTTATGTTTAATTTGCAATTGTGTATTTTTGGTGATTGTTCATGTTATAGATATATGCTCCTTGGTGTGGGCATTGCCAAGCCTTGGAGCCTATATATAACAAGCTTGCCAAGCATTTAAGAGGTATTGATTCCCTCGTTATAGCTAAGATGGATGGCACTACAAATGAACACCCACGAGCAAAGGTACTTTCCCTTTTGCTTCATTCTTGGTCTTCTGATTGTCCTTTCTCCATATGAATTCTTATATTTTTTTAATTGGTTGATTTGGTTTTGTTACATTTGCAGCCCGATGGTTTTCCAACAATTCTGTTCTTCCCAGCTGGGAACAAGAGTTTCGATCCAGTTAGTTTCCTTATACTTTTTTTCCATCCAGTCTCTCTTATTATGCCAACATTTTAATTGATTTTCTAACATTCTGATTGACCTCATACCTTTTACAGATCACTTTTGACAGTGATCGAACTGTGGTTGCTTTCTACAAGTTCTTAAAGAAACATGCATCGATTCCGTTTAAGCTCCAAAAGCCGGAAAAGAACACTGCTCCCAAAATCACTAGTTCTAGCCAAGAAGACAGCACCAACTTCAATGTTAAAGACGAATTATAATCGACACTTCATCTGAATTTGGCCCGATCATGACAAAAATGATGTTCAAGAGTGACGAATAGTAAGTGTACAAGGAGAGTACACTCTCGTCTAATCAGGGCATCAATTTTTTTTTTTTTTTTGGCTAAATTCGGGTACTTACTTGACTCACTTTAAAGGTGGCAGAGGAAAGTAGAATAATTTTTTGATGTGATTTTTGGTTGTGTTTGTGCTAAATATATACAAAGTACTTTGGGAGCCATTATATTTGCATCATACAAAATAACATGCACATTCTGCTGTTAGGTGTGTAATCAGCGTTTCAAAACTTGGGCGGGTGATTGACCGTGGCCGGCCACTGAGTTTTCGGTCCAGCCATCAATAGTCACCAGTTGAATCGGATAATCAATTTTAAACAATATAAATTATATTTATATTATTTTTGTCAAATAGCTATACATGAAAATAACAAAAATAAGTAATTTATATGTAAATTTCAAGTCTTAATACTATTCTATCTTGTTATAAACACTTACCACATAAGATATATATGTACTTAATCTTATTTTCCAAAGATAAAGAAATTTAAAAAATGAAGCATAATGAAAGAAATAAAATAATTCTATACCATTAGATCAATCGAGTCAACGATAATGATCAAGTCAAACTTTAGTAAATGACAGTCTAACATGCGGTGACAATTTCGAAAATAAATGTAGTAAAAAAATGTACATGTCACAGTCAAATGTATAACACTCAATAAGGGTAAAGTGGTCATTATCCATCCGCAGTGGGCCCCACCCACCAACATGTCCCCACTCCCCACCCCATCTCTTTCCCCTCTCTTTCTCTCAGTCACAATTCAAACACACGCACATAACACACACACAAACACATCCGCCTTATCGGCCCCACCACAAGCACCACTGCAGTCACGACGAGAGCAACAATATAGATGGCAGATAGCTGGCTCTGATGCTTCTCTGCAAGGAGGACGATGTATAGTCGGCTCAAACTCGTCGTCGGTGTTGAGAAAGTAGACAACATTGTCGAACTTATTGGGGCAGAGAAAGGAGTCGAGGGAGTTGCAGAGGAAGGAGTCGGGGGATAGGGCTTGGGAGGAGAGAGACGAGGCCAAATGCATTTTGCGATCGATGTTGTTGATCGATTGGAGGCACCCGTACTGCAAGTTTTGCGTTTTACAGTACGGACAGAGAATGTCTTAAAGAACATGTTCTGGAATGTGCCTAAGACTTTGTTTCAATATATTTTGTTCTCCACTTTCTAAAATCCATATAGTTTTTCCAACATGTATCATGTATAATTCTGTATACTCTAGTAATAAAATATTTTTATATTAAATTAGTGAATTAATAAAAATATATATTGTTGATGATCGACTTGGCTTCATGAGATTAGAGTTAAAGACTAATCGCCTCGTTCGATTAATAGTCCCTCAGAAATAGTTGAACTTAGCTCAAGTCAGTACCAGTTAAATACGTTAATTACCGACTTCCAGTTGACTGAAAGTAGAACCGACTATTTACAGAAGCCAACAACCGACTTCACCGACATTGTGATTATGCCCATTAAAAATTATCCATTCATCCGACATCTGAGGAGATCGAATTCCCACGCAAAAGGTGCTGTACATATTCAATTGGACCATCAAAACAAAAAGCAATCATTGATGTTCCCTCATTCCATTACACGTCGTTTTATTGAAGCTGCTCAACATTAAATGCGATCTTATCTACCTCGGACAAAAAGACAAAAATGACCGTACTATAAATAGCGGAATTTATGGTTGTAGAGGGATTTTTTTTTTTCGCACATTGTACACGGACTTGAAATGATCTCGGTCAAGAACAAAAAACCGACTTCCTCTACTCTTGTGATATCATCAATAATATACGATTATCTTCTTATTTATGTTTAAACACACATAATTGTTCATAATTTTAAGTTGTTAATTACATACAACAACATATACATTAGGCAACAATACATCGTGTTTTTCGGTTACGATAAATATACATATTTTAAAATTAAAGTATCATATTCTAAAATACAATATAAACAAAAACATAACATTTATATAAGTAGATATTTTTATTGAATAGGTATGATGGATGGGCGAGCCATCTAATGATTAAGCTATTTTACACAAAAATAAATTTGTGATTTTTTTGAATGGCAGTATTTTTTTTCGCCACAAGATAAGAGTACAATTACATTCGTAACTCTAGGTTATTTATAGGGGTTGAGGGCCTGTCTTCGTACAGGTGACAAGCACTTGGGAATTGGGATTAAATAGACGGAGAAGATGAATCATGCTTTGAATGCCATGGCCTTTCTTCTGCTTGCCCTCCTCCTACTAAACAGCTAAAAGGAAACCCAAAAGGCACTTGTCACTTCTGGTCAGCACTCTCACTCGTCTTTGCACCGCTCTCGATTTCTCTGTATTTCAAAAATTTCGTTTCATTTTCTCATTTTAAAACGAAATTGGTGCATGCAGAGGTACCAGCATCTTTTTATATGTTGTTTCTGCCTAAAAATCGATTGATGTTAGGTTTTTCCTTTCCTTTTCTTCTCGTTTCAATTTGAAGTCTTTTCCTCTCTCTCTATCTCTCATGTGGAAATTTATGGTCAAGATAGTTCCAGAACAATGGTTCTGTTTTTCAATTTTTTTTTTCTTAGTCTTGGGTTCTGTGATACATTGCCACCGACAACATTTTCATGGGGTGTATTTTTTTTTAGAAATTTTTAGTGTCCACCGAAGTATGAAAAACTTGTAGACTGTTATAGAACGGCTGAGCTTGTTATTTTGAGTATTCTATTTGTTACCATCTGAACCTGAAAATTTCTCTTTTCAGTTTTCATTTCACTGATTTAGTTTTCTTTTTGAAGATTTTTAAGTTGTTATCTGTAATGTGGTTCATGGGAAGTCAGAGATTTTCTCTCTAATTTATATGTTAGTGACATAGGTAGTCTTGCTGGGCATTTATTTCCCCCTTAGAATGAAACAAATTACTTATTATGTGTGTATAATAGGAGTGCTGTAGTAAATTCTGTATGTTTGACCTCCTGATAATTAAAGTCACTTCATTTTCTTATTGTTCTAGAGAAAAGTGAATGTTGTCTTCTATCTTCAGTCTGTTGCTACATCCCCTGCTTTAGCAATACTTGTTTACTCTGAGATATGGAGAAATATGTAAATACAACTTTATATTTGTGCAATGGAACAAGTTTTACATATGAAACCTGATAATATTGACTATAAGCACATTCTCCATCCAAACCAAGTTTTGATGTTTCGGTTGGTAGCTATTTGATTTATCGGTGCTTATGCCCGTTAAATGATGTGGAGCAACAAGTAGGTGGGATGGGTGTAGTGCATGATTAATTATATTTCCATGTAAAATCTTTTAGGAATGGACAATTAGAAGGCATTTGTTGTTGTTGATGATATCATTGGCGTGAAGTTTGATTTTGGTGAATTTTGTTTTTCAAAACGAAAAAGGAAATCATTTACTTTTTTGGAGATGAGTTGTTCATTTCAATCCTTGTAGCCTGATATGAAGAAGATGTGTCAATATGTGAATCGTGATATGGTTCAGTTTCCTAGCTATAGAGATTGGGCTAAATGAATACACCAGCTTATAGCAATTTAATGATTCGTGTTATTGCCATCTTCAGGTGGTAGAGCTAATTTTTCTCCTAACAAAATATTAAAGTCTTCCTCTATGCCAATGGCTTATGCTTTAAACGGAAAATATATAATACAAACTTTTGTTCTAAACGAGGATGGATAGATGGTTCTCCCTTTTGGATTGGTCGTCCATAAAAAAAAAAAAAAAATGTTTCATCTCTGTGTTTGGAAATTCTGTTCCCATTTTGTCAGCACCATATGTTGAAAAAATCTTTAATATGAATATAACTAATTGAGCTCATCTTATTTTGTATCGCTTTTAATGTAACACTTCTCTTCTTGTAGTCTTAGGAATTTATGTGTTATTATGTTTTGGAAATTTATGTGTTATTAACAGTATTTTCACCCTCTTATTACATGTTGCAGACTCCACACTGATAGTTATACTGCAGAATATTCTCAAGAAAAGCTTGCTGGAGAACAGATTGTTCAGTCTTGTTAAGTTTCCTGCTGAATGAGGTGCAATTGTTTAAGTTCAGTAGTTTTTCATTTACAGATAGAACTGGAAAGAAAGAAAAAAAATGATAAGTGTATAAATAGATGAAGGAAAATGATGAGCAAGTAGTACTATCTGCTGTGTGTTGATGATTATTTATTGCAACATTCATGAGGATCTGGATAATTGCAGAAGAAATTAGTTATACCTCAAAGTTATATCTACCATTGGTTAAAACGTCATTTTGCAGGCACCGGGACGCGTTACATATCTTTGTTGCCTTGTAATTGCGCTCGGCACTTAAGCGAAATCCGAAGAAAATGAGGAATAAAACAGACGACCTGAGAACGGCAAACGGGAAATCCAAAAATGTTCCCAAGAAGAGGAACTCCTCCTGCCTTAAAACCATCGCAACCGATCCCGACATCAATCAAACACTTGTAGATTTAAAGCGTCGGAAAATCAAATCATCAAAAACTACTCCTTCATCATCCGGCGCTCCCGACGATTCTCCGACGTCACGAAAAACAAAAAAGTTCATCGGCCGATTCTTTTACGAGACTGGTCTCAACATCGACGCCGTCAGCTCGCCCGCATTCCGGAGGATGATTTCCCATTTCTCCGAAAATACAAACCGCCCAATCGAAATCCCGACTCACCGAGAGCTAAAAGGATGGATCTTTGACGATGCCATGGGAGAAATCCTCGAATACCTCGACAGAAATAGAACCTCATGGACTGAGACGGGCTGCACGATTCTTCTCGACGGGTGGACCGACAAAACGGGCCGCGAGCTGGTTAACGTTCTGGTCGAGAGCCCAAAGGGAACGGTCTACTTACGCTCGTCCGATATTTCCCACTGCATAGATAACACAGACGCCATGCTGACGTTCCTCGATAACATACTAGAGGAAGTGGGCCCCGCAAATGTCGTCCAGATCATGACTTACTCGATCTCGTCCTTCATGAAGGAGGTAGGCCGGAAGTTAATGGAACGGCACCGCTCAATTTTTTGGACCGTCGACTCGTCCTGTTGCATCAAGCTCATGCTAGAGAAAATGAAGTCGATGAGCCCCGTTAAGGAGACGCTCGACCGCATGAGAATCGTCGTGAATTTCATCAACGGCAATCCGAACGCACGAAAACTACTCGGAAAATTTATCGAGCAATCGAGCCCGAGTTGGATGGAGCCCTTCACCACTCTCGAGAATCTCTGCTCGAAAGTGGAAAAAGTGAAGAGCATTTTTCTCTCTCCTGATTCGGATTTTTCCTCGACAGAAAGCGGGAAAAGGGTGGCCAGCTTGATCGGAGACCGATCCTTCTGGAGTGGGGTGAAGACCACACTTCGGGCGGCTATGCCGCTTGTGAAGGTTGTGGAGTGGATGGATAAGAACAGAAAAGATCAGATTGGGTATATATACGAGACGATTGACCAAGTCAAAGAGAGTATCAGAAAGGAGTTGGGTGAGAAGAGATGTGAGTACAAGCGGTTTTGGAAAGTGATTGACGAAGTGTGGTCGGGTTTTCTGTACAGCCCTCTTCATGCAGGGGGTTACTTCTTTAACCCGAACCTTTTCTACTCGGAAGATGTTTGTGTTGACCCAGAAGTTGCCACGGGATTGGTCTGTTGTGTTGTTCGAGCTGAAGAGAATGTACGGATCAAGGACCGGATTCTTATTCAGATTGAGAAGTATAGATTTGGTGCTGGTGGGTTCCAGTTGGGGTGTGCTGATGGTGGATTTGATGTGTCTCCAGGTTAGTTA